TGACGGCATTGGAGGGGGGGGGGGGGTGTTGTGAGGGTCAGGCTTTTTGTAAGACTTTTAGAAAAACGTGACGTCATTTGTGGATCCCCCCCCTCCTAAATCAGAAGGTTATCTGACGCGTGAGCTGGTCAAATACAGTTGTACAGGGGGAAAACATGTTTGTGTCTTTTATGCATTACTACATCATTCATCCGATCGCCATGAAAAGTTGGGAAGCTGTTGAGTACAGCCCCGCAAAGGTTTCTGTCATTGGCCTAACATTTGTTCACATATTGAATTGGCGGTGCCACACGGAAATATGTAATTCAGCGCCTGGGATCCACTTATAGTGTGTCTTGCATATGGGGATAGGGTTACTACTTGTATCCACCACCGGCAGTGTCATCGAGAGCGCATCATATATGAGCTTTTTAGCCCCTACTGACAGTCGTTTAAAAGTTCACTTAAAACTAGGGATACGTGTCGCTACTACATTCGATGACTAAATCTAACCAGGGGTTGCACCAATCACCCTTGCAGTAATGTAACCGGTAGCTCCCAAGAGCTCCATGACTCCCCTGACACCTGGGCCGTTGCCCAAGGACTTACAACATGCCTTGGCGTGTCTCGTTCGTAGTGTGGACAAACCCGCGCCCCAAACAACTGTGATCTAAGAAATGAACTGCCGACATTGTTCACATTCAATTAAACTTCTGGAAAACAGGGCACACGTCTAAAATACACGATTGGTAACGTTTTGATGAAAACCTCATAAAAATCGGCGTCACTTTGGTGTGTTGGACTACATTTAGCGAGTCCGTGCTTTTTACTTGGAAAACTGAATATATATATATATATATATATATATATATATATATATATATATATATATATATATATATATATATATATATGGATCCGGACAAAAGGCCGACATGGACAAAAAGCCCACATGGACAAAAGGCCGACTGCTAAAAGACCGACATCCAAAAGGCCGACAAGATAAAAGGCCGACAAGTTTTATAAAACAACAAACTACAATTACAGGTCCATATATAGGGAATTCACAGGGGCAAGTTTATACAAGTGCCGTACTAATATCACATATAAACATTAATAAGTAGGGGCTCGTCCTACACAGGACACGAAGCTGACACTCCTGACCTAAATAGCAATGGACTAGTCCTTGGCGGTTTACACGGTCTCTGGACTGGGAGAAAACTTACTAGATCTAAATCTAGTATCTAAAGCTTTAAACTTGTATTAAAAATTAAATCCCGGGCAAGCTCCCACTTATTACGGCGCTTCTCTACCACTGGTAAAGGTAACGCACTACCCGAATTCTTTTGGATGGTTTTAGACTGATGACTTACAAAATTAAAAGATTACCAGACAACAAAAACTCTCCGTGAACTCGTATTTAATGTCTAGGGTAAAAACACACACGAAGACCTTCTGCAACTAATAATACTTTTAACCAATCTACAACCTTTTAATATGTATACAAGTCCAAATAATAAATACTATGTAAAATATTAGAAATATACAAATAATGAAAGACCCAACTTACGAGTTGAAGGATAACACACTGAAACTACTAACACTGGATAAAGTACTTAAGTAATCAACACAACCTACACGATATTAAATTGAGGCACAGAAAAATACCGAAGGGACAGGTATTTAGGGATACTAAATGCTTAAACTAGGAAATACAACGTGGTGTCGTACGTGGTTTTCTCTCCCGGTAGATGTCTGGTAGGCTCTGCCATGAGGGAGGAAAATTCCTGATTCCTGATATATATAGGACCCCAAAATTATGGGATGTCGACCTCAAAGTCAAGGACTATTGGGGAGGAACTAGCTAAAGCACTAGCCAAGCGAAATCATTGGTGAATCTTATCACATGAGCGTGATGGAAAATTTCTTTTTATTAAATAATCGTAAAATCAAATAATAAAAAAAGAAGACCTCACAGTCAAGGCACGTGATCGTTCCACTTCATTCGGTTTCTCCTCTCTTGAACATTTCACCTTATTTTATGCCTTATTTCGATGGTCGTCAAGATAGCAGCAATGCAGTAACATATTTTGCGATATTAGTATTTTTTATGCTTGTCGGCCTTATAGTTTGTCGGCTTTATGGTCTGTCGGCCTCATGGTCTGTCGGCCTTTTGGCTGTCTGTCTTTTGTCCATGTCGGCCTTTTGTCCATGTCGGCCTTTTGTCCGTGTCGGCCTTTTGTTTTGTCGGCCTTTTGTCCTACACCCACACATATATATATATACAATGGAAAAAAGCGCAACGGAAAAAAAGCGCAAAGAGAAAAAAGCGCACACGGAAAAAGCGCAAAGAGAAAAAAGCGCAAAGAGAAAAAAGCGCAAAAAGAAAAGGCGCACACAGAAAAAAGCGCAAACAGAAAAAAGCGCACACGGAAAAAAGCGCAAAGAGAAAAAAGCGCAAAAAGAAAAGGCGCACACAGAAAAAAGCGCAAACAGAAAAAAGCGCACACGGAAAAAAGCGCAAAGAGAAAAAAGCGCACACGGAAAAAAGCGCAAAGAGAAAAAAGCACAAAGAGAAAAAAGCACAAAAAGAAAAAAGCGCAAACAGAAAAAAGCGCAAACGGAAAAAATAGTAGTTGAATAATTATTGACCAAGAAAATAATAGGCATTGTGTAAAGCGATTATCGCCTGTATCGTGGTGAGGGGAATGCACATGGTAGTGGTACGCTTTAAATGGTAGTAGATCACGTGATCAAACACGACACTCTTACAGCAGCCCTAACAGTCATGTATAAATGTGTCATCTAGTCTATATTTGTGCTAAATTTCTCTTTTGCACATTTTTCGTTGTTTTTTCTGGTTGCGAATTTTTCTGTTTGCGCTTCTTTCCGTTTTCGCTTTTTTTTCTGTGTGCGCTTTTTTCTGTTTGCGCTTATTTCCGTTTGCGCTTTTTTCTGTTTGCGCTTTTTTCCGTTTGCGCATTTTTCCGTTTGCGCTTTTTTCTGTTTGCGCTTTTTTCTGTGTGCGCTTTTTTCTTTTTGTGCTTTTTTCTCTTTGCTCTTTTTTCTCTTTGCGCTTTTTTCCGTGTGCGCTTTTTTCTGTTTGCGCTTTTTTCTGTGTGCGCTTTTTTCTTTATGCGCTTTTTTCTCTTTGCGCTTTTTTCTCTTTGCGCTTTTTTCCGTGTGCGCTTATTTCCGTTGCGCTTTTTGTTTTGCGCTTTTTTCCGTTGCGCTTTTTTCCGTTGCGGTTCTTTCCGGCCACCATATATATATATATATATATATATATATATATATATATATATATATATATATATATATATATATATATAATATGTATGTATGGGCCTAAAAATAATTCTCGGGTTGGCCTTTTTTTCCGGTTTCGCCACTCGTTGGACGCTGCTGTTGTTTGGATTCGCATGATTGAAATGTGGATTCGCATGATTGAAATGTGTATTTAGATTCATTGATTCTGTCCAGTCAAATGTTGATCTGTAGTCCACGCAATTGTGATTTAGAAATTTCTTTACAAAGGGAAAATATTCAATTTAAATTTTTGCCCAAATTACCCTTTCTTGGTTATATCCCCTTACAAAGACAAGATATGTTTGGTTAGGTGACCAGAAAGAAGCAACGGGAAAAAAAGCGCAACGGAAAAAAGCGCAAACAGAAAAAAGCGCCCCCCATATATGGTTTATATTTATAATTCAAAATGGCAGCTAATATGAGCTTATTTTGGCGCCCTTAGGGCGCCCGGGGACATATGTACCTCCCCCCCCCCGCTACGCCTCTGTTATATGCTAGCCCATACATTTGTGGCGATAGGATCAGAAGGGGGAGGAGGAAAAGTAGGGTGGGGGCAGTGGCGTGGCGAGGTCGGGTGTTACCCGGTGCGGCACCCCCCCCCCCCCCCGTTAATCTTTCGATTTGCACCTCTTAAAACACTATTTAACACTCGAATTAATCACTTAATTAAGTGGAATTATCATTTTCTCTATATATTTTGCTATTTTTTTTGCCTTGGTGTCACCCCCCTAAATCGTGTCACCCGGTGCGGTTCCCCCCCCCCCCCCCCCCGCTACGCCTCTGGGTGGGGTTAGAATGTGTGACGAGATGACACACTTTTACATTTAAAAAAAAAAATAGGCTTATGGTAGAATGTTGACCGAGCTCAGTCAATATTTTAGAATGTAATCGTTGTTATTTTCTTTAAATTATGAGGTGGGGGGGGAGGGTTGAGTTTGACATGACGTTTTTTGGGGTGGTCTGGCCTTTTTTTTTTGGACGATGTATGATGTTGGAGAGGGGGAGATACAATCGTTGAAAAAAAAACGTAACGCCGTTTATGATGACCCCCCCCCCCCACCCCCCCCCCATAGTCTGTTGTTGGAATATTAATTATGACTTTTAGATCAAACTATCTACCAGGTAATTGTTTTCTATGAGGTTTTTTTTTTCCTAGGAGAATCTAGGATTTTTATTATTTTTGTTTTTTGTTTTTAGGATCAATGTCAAGTGTTGGTAAGCGATTTAGAGAGTTAGTTGTTAATACTCTCTGTTAAAACCAGTTGCTGGACTGCCTACACGTTATAAAACCTTAAATGGTGAATGGGTTGTTTAAAATGTCATTTTTGTATATCTGTCTTGTTTGAATCTTGCTTGAAATCTATTATAGCCTATAGAAATATAGATTGATAGAAACCTGCTCGTTAAAGTCTAGCCCATCGCTGTGCCAAACCTAGGCTACCGGTAAAGAACCACTGGTTTATAAAAAGTTGCCATAAAATCTGAATGCAGAAACAACTACTAAGAGCTTAGGCCTAGTTGACAGCTACATAAATGAAAATACGCTAAAAATAACATTTAAAATTAAATATAATAATGTAACAAATTGAATTTTAATATTCTTAAGAATATTTAAAAAAAAAAAGATCAAATAGGGCCTCGGGCCCTAGGTGATTTATTTTGTTCAAAAATGTTTGTTCCGTAAGTAATTAAAAAACTCTGAAATCGTTTTTAAAAACATTAACGATGGCGACACACGAACGGAGAAGGTCTGATAATGCTGCAGCTGGGTGGCCCAACTACAAAATGACTAGAGCACCAAATACTCACGCATCCCTAACTCTTGAAAGAACAATTAACTTGTGAGTTGTTCCTCTCCGTATTTGCTCCAACTATTATATATGTCCATTATGTAGATCTAGATATAAAAACTAAGTAAATTCAAAATTGAAATTGAGTCAGCTCAGTTGAGTTGGGACCTGGTTTGGACTGAGTCGCTTACTAGAAGTTGACTAGACTTCTAGATCTAGTCAGAAGTCAAGTCTAGAAAGAAGCTATTCTCTCTGTATTTTAATTAATTTTTATTTAAATGATACCAAAATAAATTAGAGATCTAGCTCTATCCAAATTTGATGGTTTGGAGCTAAAATAGGCCTACAGAATTTTAATTACTAAGTGACTACTCGGAAAAAGATTTTTCTCCCCAACGTCTCCACTTAGTCGGCAAAAGATAGTTCTGCGCATGCGCAGTGACCTATGGCTAGGGTGTTAGGGATAGAATTAAGGTTAGGAATAGCATTAAGGTTTGGGTTAGGGTTCTCCGGTTGTAAACACACGCATTCGCAGTACCATCAAAAACATCGCTGCGATGGCAAGTCGTAGTTTCTCTCCATTGCGCATGCATATCTTTTTATGGTAAGCATCGGCCTTTTAATTAGGCATATTCTAGCTGCATCTAGCATATACAAACTACACATGCGGAGTTGGAAAAACCTTGCCTACCTTCTTGTAGCGATACCCACTGAACATTAATTCATTTTTTTATTCAAATAATACAAATGAAAAATATAGATCTATCTCCAACTAACTAGGCACTACATTTGATGTTTCATTTGGTTCGCTTTTTAATTAGAAGTGACTAGTCGGTAGAGGCCAAAATGCAATGACCTAAAAAGGCTAAATACTGGCTCAAATGACCCTTAACTGCTGCACAATAGGCTCAAATTACCCTTTTAACATTATTTTTCTAACAAAACTAACTGTATTGTGTGGGTGAGCGGATCATCAGGGGGATAGAATCTAGTATATCTAGTAAAGAGATCTATCCATCTATTCTGTAAAGTATTAAAAAAAATTCAAAAATATTTTTAATAGGCCTAACTTTTTAAAAATCTACAAAGTTTTTATCACTGTCCCATCAGGACGACTGATAGGCCTGAACAACGAAAAACCAGGTCAATGTAGCGCTGGTTAGTAAACAGGCACATCTTTTTCCGGCTAGAATTGCCCTTTTACTTATTGGTGCCTCACAGCCTAGCCGAGTCCTTTTTTCAGTGACAATTGTTATTAGATCTATTTTCAAAAGTTTTTTTTCTTGGGTGTTAAGGGATCAAGTTCAGGTTAGGGGAAGTTGATGTATGCGGCAATAAAATATAATCGAAGGGGTACTTGTAACTTGGTTTTCTACTTACTAAATTTTTAGTATAGGCTAGGCCAAATGAATGAACTAAAAATAATCACGTTTAAATATTTAAAATATATTGATATACCGGCCTATAGGCCCGATATAATTTTTTTAAAGATATTCATATTCAGGTTTTATTCAGTTAAGATTGTTTGCAAAGATTAACTAGGTCAATTAATAAAAGAGTAGGATGTCATTGTAAAATAATTCTCTCCTCCTTTACTGGCATTTGACCAGCACAATATTCACGAAGCTTTGTCCAGGCCAAGTTTGAAATAATTTTTAAAGATTTATATCTGGTTTTTCTTTTGAAAAATGTTGTTACATTCAAATTTATCACATGTGAGAAATGCATTCTAAACAGCGTCACAGGCTGTGAGCATGATAAACAAGAGAAGCTATCCAAAACAATGTATCAAGCCTATTAAACAAAAACAGGCCTATTGTGCATTCAAATTGATCACCTGTTAGCTAAGTTATATGCAAATTACAAGCATCGTCAGCCCACTTGTGTTACTTTGTTAACCGGTTAGAGAAAATTCTCACAGAAGACTGCGAGTATGTGCTTGGTATAGTCCCAGTACTTTGTTGGCTAAGTGACCTAATATTGAAAATATTGTCATTTTTGTTCCGCTAAGCTGGAGAACTTAAGATATTTGATTTCTGTTTTCACAGACTTGAAAACCAAATATTTAATCACCTACCACCATATTGTTTAGGCCTATGTATCTGTTAGATTGGTATTTAAGAAGATCTATTAGTTTAAATATTACCACCTTTAAGTTTAGCCTTCATTTTTAAAAGCAAATATACATTTATTTTCCTAGCATACACAGCACTGTTAGATTGTATAATGTGGTAAACATTTTAAAAGTAATGCCAAGAAAGCCACTTGAATGGGTAAGAAAAATGGTCAAAGTCATGCGTTAGGACACCATATTGTTGTTATCAACAGGCCCTACACCCCCTACCTACTCAGGTTTGTGAGAAACGCTATGCTCTTATTATAGAATCCTTGGACTTAGTCTAGAGTCTATTCTCTAAAATTGACTGGATGTGATATCTAGCTTAATCTCATCAACATTCTCAGTCACATACAACTTTACACTCCATTCACTTTGGCTATTATTATGACTAGTATTATCATCAACATTCTCACATACAAATTTACACCCATTTACTATTTTTACACTAGTATTTTCATCATGCTTGATACTTCCTTGACATATTTTATAAAAAATGTTTTGGGTTGTGGTTATTAAAAAAAAAAAAACTTATAAGAGTGTTCTAAGTTAGCAGAATGAAAGGATTTGAAGATGAATAGATACTTCTAGCAACAAAACTGACTTTTGGGTGGTGTAAACATTATGTGCACATCTCCAAACTTTATCAGGTGGTGTCTGGAAAACTGATTTTTTTTTGGTGTCATTTATTAACATTAACATAGGAAGTAGACTGACAATGTATGCAAATTTAAACAAGATTTTATACCAAAACAAAGTCATGTTAAATCTAGGAATATGTAAGATATCGGAGTCTGTATGATTCTTGCACATTTCAGAATCAGTTTCATGCCGTGATCAACTCTTATAGACCATAATAATTTTCCCATTACACTTTTAACTGTGTATATCATCTCAATGCCATGTTGACAAGATCCTCTAATTTAAAATGTGAAGTGTATAGGAGAGGACTAACAGTTACCTGTGATTTTATCTTCTCTACCCACCAGGTACCCTCTGAACAACTACACGTTTGGTACAAAGGAACCTTTATATGAAAAAGACAGCTCAGTTCCTGCAAGGTTTCAAAGGATGAGAGAAGAGTTTGATAAGATTGGGATGAGGCGCTCCGTGGAGGGTGTGTTGATTGTGTATGAGCATGGACTTCCTCATGTTCTACTTCTGCAGCTGGGTACAACCTTTTTTAAACTGTAAGTTGTCATCTATCCTTGATGTTAGAGGCCAACTTAATGTGGCCCATCTGTAAGTTGTCATCCATCCTTTAGAGGCCAACTTAATGTGGCCCATCTGTAAGTTGTCATCTATCCTTGATGTTAGAGGCCAACTTAATGTGGCCCATCTGTAAGTTGTCATCCATCCTTTAGAGGCCAACTTAATGTGGCCCATCTGTAAGTTGTCATTCATCCTTGATGTTAGATGCCTGTTTAATGTGGCCCATCTAAGTTGTCATCTATCCTTGATGTTAGAGGCCAACTTAATGTGGCCCATCTAAGTTGTCATCCATCCTTGATGTTAGAGGCCAACTTAATGTGGCCCATCTGTAAGTTGTCATTCATCCCTTAGAGGCCTGCTTAGTTATGGCCCATCTGTAAGTTGTCATCCATCCGTGATGTTTTATGAAATCATGTAAAGAGTAACACTTGCTTATGGTATTTTCATCATGGATAAAATGTCAATCTTCAGGCCTGGGGGAGAACTGAATGCAGGTGAGGACCAAGTTGAAGGACTCAAGCGGCTTCTAACAGAGGTACACAGTTTTTGATGGTCTTAAAGACCCTTCTTTTTGTCCTTATCACTGTTAGTGCCACTGAAGCAAAGTTTGGACAACTTTAATTTCTGTCATAAGATTGTTGTCTTATTTTACTTATAAAAAGTAATCTACACCCACTCTTTTGTGATCAGACTCTGGGAAGACAGGATGGAGCACCAATGGATTGGGTCATTGAGGACACAATAGGGAACTGGTGGCGGCCTAACTTTGAGCCTTCACAGGTGAGCTGACTTGTTATTTTTTTTTTAAATAGCGCAGCTATTTCAAAGAAGTAGGTACTGTTATGATGCGAGATGAGGACAGGGTCGTAGACAATGTATGTAGAAGACTATGATTTAATATAAATCAGATCAGGACATGTTGTTAATTTCATCTTTTAATTACACTGTTTAACTACACCACAGACACGACTATATTGACGACAAGACATCCACACACCAACACCACAGGACGAAGACTGACTTTAACTCCTTCAGCTAACAACCAAATCATACTCTCACACGTCACATCCTTCCTTGCCTCGTCATTTCAACATCTTTTATTAATATAACACATTCCACTACATACATACTCTCATAACCATTCAGTAACACTAAAATACCATTCACAACAGGTACCCTACAACTTATTCTTTGTCTGTAGTTTTGTTCAGTCCCAATTTTGGAAACTAGTGTCTCAGAACCAAACCACGCCTGTCCCACTTACTTATGTATAAAATATTTTGCACTGGTGTCCATATATGATGTCACATTTCTATTTTTACCCTTGTCTTATCACTCAGTGTCACCATAAGTCTAAGCCCCTGTATTGTGATTCCAGTGTCACCATAAGTCTAAGTGCCCATATTGTGATTCCAGTGTCACCATAAGTCTAAGCCCTGTATTGTGATTCCAGTGTCACCATAAGTCTAAGTGCCCATATTGTGATTCCAGTGTCACCATAAGTCTAAGCCCCTGTATTGTGATTCCAGTGTCACCATAAGTCTAAGCCCTGTATTGTGATTCCAGTGTCACCATAAGTCTAAGCCCCTGTATTGTGATTCCAGTGTCACCATAAGTCTAAGCCCCTGTATTGTGATTCCAGTGTTACCATAAGTCTAAGCTCATATATTGTGATTCCAGTGTCACCATAAGTCTAAGTCCCTGTATTGTGATTCCAGTGTCACCATAAGTCTAAGCCCCTATATTGTGATTCCAGTGTCACCATAAGTCTAAGCCCTGTATTGTGATTCCAGTGTCACCATAAGTCTAAGCCCCTGTATTGTGATTCCAGTGTCACCATAAGTCTAAGCCCCTATATTGTGATTCCAGTGTCACCATAAGTCTAAGCCCTGTATTGTGATTCCAGTGTCACCATAAGTCTAAGCCCCTGTATTGTGATTCCAGTGTCACCATAAGTCTAAGCCCCTATATTGTGATTCCAGTGTCACCATAAGTCTAAGTGCCCATATTGTGATTCCAGTGTCACCATAAGTCTAAGCCCCTGTATTGTGATTCCAGTGTTACCATAAGTCTAAGCTCATATATTGTGATTCCAGTGTCACCATAAGTCTAAGTCCCTGTATTGTGATTCCAGTGTCACCATAAGTCTAAGCCCCTATATTGTGATTCCAGTGTCACCATGTCCAAGCTCCTTCCCTGTATTGAGATGTCATTCTTGGACCAACAGCACAATGTTCCCTCATGGAAAACAATTCCAACTTTTTAAATTTTTTAGTCAGACAGTTACATCTCTGGAGTCAGCAAATTATAGGGGAGTTGTTTTTGTTGTAACTTGAAAGTATTTTGATTTGTAATGAATCTTGTTTTTCAGTACCCCTATATCCCAGCACACATCACTAAACCCAAAGAGCACAAACGTTTGTTTCTTGTACAGCTGCCAGAAAAAGGTGAGTCAGCAATTATTAAAAGTTTTCTTTTTTACGAGCTTTTATTTAACTCATTCTTTTGTTTGTCTTATGTCTGTTTCCATCAAATGTTAAAACTTGCAAGCAAAATTTCAATCACTTTTACTCATCCATAACTTATTTTAAATATATATTAATACACCATTCTTTAATATAACTATAAAGAAAATGTGATTTGATAATATAACTAAAATGAAGGTAGGCAATACAAAATTAGCAACCGCTTTATAGTTATTTAGTTATTTTCTTTTATTTTTGTGCACATGTAAAAACTTATAAACATATATTTTATGATGTTCCAGAACTAAAAAATACTTATATACTGGATAGTTATTATTTAAAAAATCAAATTTAATATGAATTAATATACATTGGCTTCTTAATACGTCTTTGTCCTTCTTTTGTTATTTATTTGTCATATTTTTATCATATGGATTGAGTAAAGCTCTAGACAAAAGTCGTTGTTTTATTATATCAGCCATTTGCTGTCCCATGTAACTAAAGCCATTGTTTTGTTATTTCAGCCCTGTTTGCTATCCCACGTAACTAAAGCCATCGTTTTGTTATTTCAGCCCTGTTTGCTGTCCCACATAACTAAAGCCATTGTTTTGTTATTTCAGCCCTGTTTGCTATCCCACGTAACTAAAGCCATCGTTTTGTTATTTCAGCCCTGTTTGCTGTCCCACGTAACTAAAGCCATTGTTTTGTTATTTCGGCCCTGTTTGCTGTCCCACGTAACTAAAGCCATTGTTTTGTTATTTCAGCCCTGTTTGCTGTCCCACGTAACTACAAACTTGTGGCAGCACCTTTATTTGAACTGTACGACAACGCAGCTGGTTATGGTCCTATAATTTCAAGTCTGCCACAGGCATTGGCCAGGTGAGAACATCAGTAGTTAGCATACAACGGTCATGTGTCACACATATGGTCTAGGTCCTGTGGGGCTGTGTCAAACATTTTGTCTAGGTCCTATAGTGCTGTGTCAAACATTTTGTCTAGGTCCTATGGGGCTGTGTCAAACATTTTGTCTAGGTCCTGTAGGGCTGTGTCAAACATATTGTCTAGGTCCTATAGTGCTCTGTGTCAAACATTTTGTCTAGGTCCTGTGGGGCTGTCACATTTTGTCTAGGTCCTGTGGGGCTGTCACATTTTGTCTAGGTCCTGTGGGGCTGTGTGTCAAACATTTTGTCTAGGTCCTGTGGGGCTGTGTCAAACATTTTGTCTAGGTCCTATAGTGCTGTGTCAAACATTTTGTCTAGGTCCTGTGGGGCTGTGTCACACATTTTGTCTAGGTCCTATGGGGCTGTGTCAAACATATTGTCTAGGTCCTATAGTGCTCTGTGTCACACATTTTGTCTAGGTCCTGTGGGACTGTGTCAAACATTTTGCCTAGGTCCTGTGGGGCTGTGTCACACATTTTGTCTAGGTCCTGTGGGGCTGTCACATATTGTCTAGGTCCTATGGGGCTGTGTCAAACATTTTGTCTAGGTCCTATAGTGCTCTGTGTCAAACATTTTGTCTAGGTCCTGTGGGACTGTGTCAAACATTTTGTCTAGGTCCTGTGGGGCTGTGTCAAACATTTTGTCTAGGTCCTGTGGGGCTGTGTCAAACATTTTGTCTAGGTCCTGTGGGGCTGTGTCAAACATTTTGTCTAGGTCCTGTGGGACTGTGTCACATTTTGTCTAGGTCCTGTGGGACTGTGTCAAACATTTTGTCTAGGTCCTGTGGGGCTGTGTCAAACATTTGGTCTAGGTCCTATGGGGCTGTGTCAAACATTTTGTCTAGGTCCTGTAGGGCTGTGTCAAACATATTGTCTAGGTCCTGTGGGGTTGTGTCAAACATTTTGTCTAGGTCCTGTGGGGCTGTGTCAAACATTTTGTCTAGGTCCTGTAGGGCTGTGTCAAACATATTGTCTAGGTCCTGTGGGGCTGTGTCAAACATTTTGTCTAGGTCCTGTGGGGCTGTGTCAAACATTTTGTCTAGGTCCTGTAGGGCTGTGTCAAACATATTGTCTAGGTCCTGTGGGGCTGTGTCAAACATTTTGTCTAGGTCCTGTAGGGCTGTGTCAAACATATTGTCTAGGTCCTGTGGGGCTGTGTCACACATTTTGTCTAGGTCCTGTGGGGCTGTGTCACATTTTGTCTAGGTCCTGTGGGGCTGTCACATTTTGTCTAGGTCCTGTGGGGCTGTGTCAAACATATTGTCTAGGTCATGTCATGGGATTACCAAGGTGTATTTGGGCCCGATAAAAAATTAACAAAGGGAAGCAAGCGCAAAAATTCTATGTTTGGATATTTCATTGAGTTAGTTCCCTTGGAATTCTTGTCACTACACTTCTTTTAGTCTTATATAAAGTACGAGCCGACCGGCGGCGTATCATAGGCCGCTATTTAGTTGTTTTATTTTCTACTTTTCAGTAATTCATAATTTGTGTAATTTGTGAATTTGACAGTACTAGTGCTGCGACTGAAAATATTTGCTTTAAAACACTACCCCCACCCGCCTCCCCCAACCCTTACCCTACAACCCCCCCCCCCCCCCCCCCCCCGTGGAAGCAGCCTCCTCTTAGTTACCTCCTCTAAGTTTAAAATCGTTTCAAACTAAATTATCTGCCCCTAATAGCCCCTAATAGCGGTCACTAAACCCGGCTCTCCGATTGTAAACATTTAGCGTGAACCACAGCTTGTCTGACTGTATAACTCCAGCCGTCAGTGTATGATTGGTGCCACCTTGTCTTTATGATGCTATATGGTTAGGTCTCACTACCATTGTCTGACAGTATAACTCCAGCAGTCAGTGTATGATTGGTGCCACCTTGTCTTTATGATGCTATATGGTTAGGTCTCACTACCATTGTCTGACTGTATAACTCCAGCAGTCAGTGTATGATTGGTGCCACCTTGTCTTTATGATGCTATATGGTTAGGTCTCACTACCATTGTCTGACTGTATAACTCCAGCCGTCAGTGTATGATTGGTGCCGCCTTGTCATGATGCTATATGGTTAGGTCTCACTACCATTGTCTGACTGTATAACTCCAGCAGTCAGTGTATGATTGGTGCCGCCTTGTCATGATGCTATATGGTTAGGTCTCACTACCATTGTCTGACTGTATAACTCCAGCCGTCAGTGTATGATTGGTGCCACCTTGTTATGATGCTATATGGTTAGGTCTCACTACCATTGTCTGACTGTATAACTCCAGCAGTCAGTGTATGATTGGTGCCGCCCTGCCCGGGTGACCCTAATCAGCCCTGGTTAGCCTGGCAGCCCAATTTAAACTTTGGATAGTCCAGCAGAAACAATAGCTCGTCATATTTCACGCTAGGCCATTCATTGTTCCCTCGTCCCTTTCACCCCCAACCCCCCCCCCCCCCTCCAGTGTCTTGCTCTCACAGGATGGATCATCTTGAGAAAACTGCTCTCCCCCACCCCCTCCCCACAAATCTGTTAGACCCGTTTGCTTTCCTTCTCAATCAGCCCAATAAGTGGGAAAATCTGAGAGTGATCCAGCCACCGCCTTCTTTAATAGCACATTGGATCACTAATGATTAGAGCGCAGCCACATTTCCCATTCCCTTTCGAGTTATCTCCAAATGAGTGGGGAATTCTAATTTGAGACGGGCTTGGTGGGAGGCTACAGTGTCCCCTGTCCCCGTGGGTCCGATGGTGAGACAAAGAGGGTGTTAGTCATAGTTTTTGTTTGTTGTGACTGGAGATCTGACTCACTTGCTGCCAGCCAAAGAAAGACCAGTGGCACTCTCAACAGTTCTCTTGGCTGCCTAAACTAGCTCTTACTAATGCTCGTCTGTCGCCTTCATTCTTAACCATTTTGAAATAAAATTTCTCTCTTCCTAAGATTGAAGTTTTCTAGCTCCCCAGATAGATTTCACTTTTCCAGATAGATTTTATTTTGTCTGGGTAGATTTTCTTTAGTCTGGGTAGATTTTCTTTAGTCTGGGTAGATTTTCTTTAGTCTGGGTCTATTTCTTTTGTCCTGATACATTTGTCCTTATTCTCAGTAAAAAAAAAAATGGACCACTATCCTTTTGTACATTTGAACGGATGAAAAGCGGCGAGTACTTTGTAGTTGTACAGATGAACGAGTAATAAAGAACGTGTCCCTATTGTGTGAAGCGGGGTCGGCCATTTGAAAGCTTCCCTGCTATCATACAAAGCGGGGGTGAGCTGGGAGTAAGCAGCTGATAAAGAAACACTAGCTTGCGCATTTTTCACGATTGCCATCTTACGTGGCAACAGCGGTGGGGATTTGGTGTGGCTGGGTCCACAGGTATGGTCCTACCTTCAGCTGGCACGCGCCACACCTGTTGAGCGAGCCTCTGATTGGTTGTCTGGGACAGGTGGTGGGGGAGAACAAGGAGGAATCACGTGACAACTCGGCGCGTGCAGGACACGCGCGACCGCACACAACACAAAGTGTTATTCAACTGAGGGGCCCTCTCCCCTACCCAGCCCGTGTTTTATCTAACCATTGTACTGGTAGGCTGGGGTAGAGGTAATCCTTGAGCGGACCGCGTCATTAGACGAGCCAAGTTTGGCAACTCTACCGCCCGCCCGCAGTACATGGGTGCAACTAACAAAGAAGAGCGGCCTTTCTATCGCATACAAGTTGTTTGACCCGACATGGAGGCTACTTGTCGTGACGGAAAGTACCGCTCCATTCCTCTCACCACGCGCCTCCATAACTCACCTGGGATTGGAGGTGTGATTGGGACAATTGGTCAGTGCTGCCACGACAGCCTAATTCTCTGCCCCCCCCCCCCCCCACTGACCACATCGTCCATGTGAAGTGTCCCTCTGTCACTGACAGTTTCCACATTTGTTCTCGCTGTCAATAACTACAAACTTATAAACTATGTTGTGGTTTTGCTCCAGTCAATATCTAGTTGGCTAACACCCCGGCACAAAGACATGGCATAATTCTTGTACAAGGTGTCGCCGCTCAGGGTAAGCTTGGCTCCTTCTGGTGCTGTCCCATTGTGGGCTTTAGTGGTGAGCTAAATATCTAGGTCAGGGATTAAGTCAGACATTGTCTGTGTGTGACAGCCATTGATTGCGTGCCGCAGACAGGTGGGCTATCCCTGGCTTTGTTCCCCCCTCCCCTCACCCGTGTCCTAATGAGGCAGGGTGAAAAGGTGAGTGGTCGACTCTGACTGGAATAATGTTATGCAGTCACGCCCCTCACATAATCGCTCATATTGGATCACAGGGCGTGACGTGACCCGTCCACCCTTGCTGCCATTGTCACGTGACCCGTCCACCCTCGCTGCCATTGTCCAGTGACCGGCATTATCCGACAAAGTCTGGCGTTTGAAACAAACTAATTGTCATTCCCCTCGCATCCAGTGCTAGCCTTAAACAAAAGCCACTAGAGCAGATGGACCGCTGCTCGCTACTTGTTTGTTATCAACTCGTTTGCTGGACTTTGTCCGGGGTTCTATGTTCACTGCATTTGTGTGAGACTTACCAGCTTAGGATTTGTTAAGAAAGCTCATGATACGACGTTTTAATATGGCGCCCTTATCCCCGTGTAGACCAACGTTTTAATATGGCGCCCTTATCCCCGTGTAGACCAACGTTTTAATATGGCGCCCTTATCCCCGTGTATAACGTTTTAATATGGCGCCCTTATCCCCGTGTAGACCAACGTTTTAATATGGCGCCCTTATCCCCGTGTAGACCAACGTTTTAATATGGCGCCCTTATCCCCGTGTATAACGTTTTAATATGGCGCCCTTATCCCCGTGTAGACCAACGTTTTAATATGGCGCCCTTATCCCCGTGTAGACCAACGTTTTAATATGGCGCCCTTATCCCCGTGTAGACCAACGTTTTAATATGGCGCCCTTATCCCCGT